GGGGAAATATATAGATTCTTTTTTGCAGTTAATAGTGGAGGAATAAATTCGTGCCTTTTTGAGAGACAGCAGCGATCTTATTAATATACTGTAAAACTATAGATGAGATTGATGACTGTTATTTTGGTGACTATTGATGTGGAGGCTTTGTCAATACTAGTATTAAGCAAGAGGATGGGATTAAAGGCAGTGAGATGGGCTTTGAAACAGAAATCTATGATTAAAACCACAACCCAGAGAAGATTCATTAATTAATTTGTTTACAATTTGCTAAATGACTAAACAATTTTTTCTGGTACAATAACACCTTCTTCCAGCAGTGGCAAGGGTTGTGCAATGGGAGCTAAATATGACTCCCAGTAGTGGCAAACATTGTTTTGGATAAATGGGCGGCATGAAAGTGGGAATCTTTTTGATATGAAAATGTGGCCATAGAAATACCTGGTTATATAAGGCGTTTTATTGATGATATCATAATGACTGGAGAGGTTCGGAAGATAATCTAAAGGGATTTGTGAGACATATTAATAATAACAAATTATGGATTTTAAAGTTTCACGGCTGTGAGTTGATTTTACAGAGGTTGAATTCTTTTGGATCTCACAATAATTATAAACATGAAGGTGACAATATAATAGGCTTAAAACGCGCGCTTTTTTCAAAGAGGTTAGATAGATAAAAATAGTTATATCGAGCCCCCCACCTCTAGTGGACATCACCCGAGATGGTGGTTGTTCAGTACGCCAAGGAGCCAATTTACCAGGATAGCGCAGTGATTAAAAGGATTTGTAGCCAGGCAGAGCAGAGATTTATTTATGTGGATCAATCCTGGACTTATTATAGATAGGTTTGTTTTGATAAAGGCTATGATAAATCCTTTTTGGGAGACCGATAAAGAAAAATAAATTGAGAACAGAGAGATAGAGATACACTTTTGATGGGTAGAAATATTAAGGACAATAAAGGAGAATTGCCTTTATCTATCTGATTTCAATAACCAATATAGAGGGATATTGAGAAAGATTTTTAGAAAATAACTACTGGCCTATACCTAATACTGCTTAAAGATGAGACCGTTGTGAAGAAAATTATTCCACTCACAAACCAAAAGCGTTTTATATATAGGAACAAATAAATCACTACGCAGATGAAACTGGTCCACAATGTTTTTGGCACCCAACCTAAAAAAAAAAAACTTTTTTCCTGAATTAACAAGGCTTTTATAATTGTAACAAGTGTAAAAGGCATTGTAAAACCAGTACAAAAAGGTTTAAAAGAAAAAAAGAAAAAGTTTTTGCTTCTGTACATTACATAATAAGGAATATAAGAATTTCAATTCATTAATTTCATGTAATTCTTCTCATGTCTGATCTACGTTCTGGAGTGCCCATGTCGGTTACAGTACGTAGGGGAGAACAGGAAGATTATTAAAAACTAGAGATTGGGAGAACATCCTTAATTAATATAAGAAAGGGATATGACAAGCATAGTGTATCCAGGCACTTCAGAAATGAAACATGAATAGTGATCCTAGTCTAGTCACCATTTTTATGGAATAGAGAGAGGTTAACTAAACATTGGGAGGGGACTAGACTTTGATTAATGCAATATCCAAAAGGGAAACATTCTGGATACATGAATTAGATGTATTAAAACCGAATGGGTTTAAAACATAGATATAAGACCTAAACTGCTTCCCTTACCAATTTTTGATAAAAAAGCTGAAAGAGATATGTATAGAGGTTAAAGTTAGCGATGCCAAATATATAAGATAGGTGGAAAAATAAGGTGCGAGTGATATTGCATGCATATCACTAATAAGAAGTAAGGTTGAAGAAAAGGATCCTCGATCCCCTTTGAAGTGATTATATTAGTAGGAGTTTTTTCCTTTAGAGGCTTGAGATATTTTAGTCTTGGGGATAAATAAGAGTTTATTACTTGTAGTTGTGATACGATATATTAATATTGGAATTTGTAGTGGAATGTATGCATGATACATCCTTCCTTGAATATGTGAGATGTATGTTGGAGTCCCCCCCCCCTTTATTATGTAATATGGTGGACTAAAGGAATTGAGAATTATGATGAAAAATGCACTGGTTGAACAAAGAAATATAGAATGTCGAGTGGTAAAGTTAAATGTCCTTGTAGAACTCGAACAGTTTGGGATTAATGTAATTCATTTTTAATTTATTGCTATTTTCCTTTGAGTTTCAATTTTAATTTTTGATTTTATTTATTATTTTTCAATGCTTTTAATATGCTTTGTTATAGAGAGTGGTTTATGTGAAAAACCCATTTTATTTGTTTATGATTTTGTTGTATTATAATTATAAAGGAAAAGATATTTGTTATAATTGAAATATTGGTATACTATGCCAATCTTGCCAAGCGAGTGGTGGTGGGTAATACACCGCCACTTGTATTGGTCAGAAGCGCCGCTATGCGTGAATGCAAGCGGTGTGTGGGTTATTACCCGCTATTGGTTGAAAAGCACTATTATGCAGAGTGCGAGCGGTATAATATATATGTCTCACTGACGTTCTGATCCATGCCGCTCCGTGAGGACGTCAGAGTGACGAAACGCGTAGGGCGGAGGCTTATTTTTGGATGACGTCAGGACGTTCCCTGGAGCTGTCGGCGAAGGTGTTCCGCGGTGAACGTGGGCTCGTCCATTCCGTATACTTGATCGCATTGCTATACCAGTGTCAGTGGACACATTTCATTTTGTGAGTAGGATGCAATTGAAATAAAAGTTTTAAATGGTTCTTACTTGCTTGCACCATCATGCCTTTTTCTTTAATTTTTGAGATGATTTTACTATACAATTGGAGGATGATCGTTATATATAGGAGTTTTGGCTATACCTCAAAATCACACTGCAGAGTATTGTTTCCTGCTATCTGGAAGTGTCTAGACTATAGAGAGTGCTACTTCATGATCTACTTACTCATCGCTCCCAGAGCAAACGCGCTAGTGCTGATTTATAATCTAATCAGCATTGAGCTCTGGTGAGTTTTCATTCCATTCATTTGGGGTGGGTGGATAAAAGCACGGTGGAAATTTTTTATATGTTTAAAGAAGAAAATTTCTGTTCTTTGTGGTGTTTTTTGGACTTTCTTTTGTACACTATATACACGAAATTTTATGGATTATTTTCACTAAAAAAAAAGTTTTTTATGTTTGGACTTCTATGTTTACACATATATTTATGATGTTAATTTTGATATATATTTAGCGCACATTCCTATTGCTGATTTTTTTTACAATTACTATCATTAGCTGGCTCCCTTTCTTTTAGGGGGAGGCTTCTATATCCATTCAACGTTTGTTCAGAATATGAGGCAGTCCCCCCTCATCTGATTAACAGGCCATGTTGCAAGCCTGGCATCACCACATAATTTAGTGAAGCGAGTTTCCAACTGGGGTGGAAAGGGTTTTTACACAGATCCAAAGAATAATTTTTCACATGTACTGTGCACACAGATAACATCCACTTATTCTCCAGGTGTCCTGCTTTCTCTGCAACTTGTCTGACCAGGGATAACAACACTCCCAGAGTTAAAGAGCGCGTGATAACCTCCTGTCCACTAACTCACACCACACACTCTTTTACACAATTAGCAATACAGGCTGTGTATGCATACATGGAGCGATGCTGGCGCATGGTCGTAATTCATCTGCTCAATTTTCCCACATTCGGGCACACTGGTCACCAGATGACCCTGTTAGGGAGGGCCAGAGTTCTGAAGGTGCTTTTTCAGTAGGGAGCATCTAAGCATCCAGGCAGACACATTGCAGTCATCCACTGACAACATGGTGTGCGGGGTGCCCCTCTTTGCTCATGAGCAGCTCTCTTGTTTATGAAGGGCCCCAATTAAGCTCCTCTGCATGGTTCGAATCAATCCACTGAATCAGTGGCCATCCCATCCAAAGATAGAAGGTGTAGGCCTGGTTTCACACCTCTCGCGTGTTGCAAATCTGCTGCAATAATAAAAATCCCCTGATCCTTACCAAAAATGCAGCTGCTGAAAATGCATATAGATGTGAACATGCCCCATAAGGAAACTATATGTTAAATGGACTGTAATGTGTTTTTTCTGCAAAGTGCAAAAAGCACTAAAAAAATAGCATAGGTGTCAACCATCGCCTTTAGTTTGGGCCAACCAACAGTATAGTTCTTTTGGGAAGGATTGTCCACACAAAAATAGTGCCAGAGTGACCTGCTCTACAGTCTTAGTGGGTTCAAAACCTCAGGTTTTATATCCAGTCATGGAACATGTGCATCAATGCATATAGTTGCACAGACACCGCACTTTCAGAAATTTCAATTGGCTGCCGCATGGTGCGAGGCAGAGCCTCATGCTGCACTGAAATAAGTAGTGCATGCAGTACTTTTTTTTCAGTGCACCATGCATGATGCACACCACCGCAAATGCAGTGTGTCATTCAGTTGGAACTAGCACTGGAATAGCAAGATCCGACGCAGTCACACCACATCTAGTGTGAATCGGCCCTTAGCACACAAGGCACAGACCACGGCCATGCTTGTGCTAAAGAGTTACCCCCAGTCTGGCCTATATTTCAGCCTTCAAAGTTTCTAATCACATTCCCGTGATTTCTGGGACAAGTCCAAGTATGCCTGCCTGGAATCTGCATTTAAAAAAGAGGAACCATGTATATCTGTCCAGTCTGTCTACACACTTTTTTTTGATCCCCAGTGGAAAATCCACTCAAAAAGTGCCTTGCCATCTACAGAACCCTGTTCCAAATTATTGTGCACATTCTATTTAAGGTGTCACAAAGATTAAATTTCTTTTTGTTTTTTTCAGTTTAAAACTCATGGATGGCATTGTGTGTCAGGGCTCCCCTTTTGATCACTGAAAAACAATCTCGGACACCTGTGAGAATTAGATTGCCGGTGTGAGCCCAATTTAAGGGAAAAACTACTAAAAGGAGGGTGTTCCACATTATTAAGCAGAGCACCATTTTCAAGCAATATGGGAAGAGAAAAAGGATCTCTCTGCTGCCGAAAAGATGTGAAATAGTTCAATGCCTTTGGAACCGAGGTATGAAAAACATTAGATATTTTCACGAAAACTTAAGCGTGATCATCGCACTATTAAGAGATTTTTGTGGCTGATTCAGAGCACAGACGGGTTTCGTGCAGATAAAGGCACACATTGAGGAAGAGTTCTTTTCTGCCCAGATCCATGCATCGGATCAAGAGGGCAGCTGCTAAAATACCATTACATAGCAGCAAACAGATATTTGAAGCTTCTGGTACCTCTGGAGTCCCACGGACATCAAGATGTAGAGTCCTCCAGAGTTCTTGCAACTGTGCATGAAACCTTCTAACTTCTATTAAGGCCACCACTAACCAATGCTCACAAGCAGAAACGGCTGCATTGGGCAGAAAAAAATACATGAAGACTAATTTTCAAACAGTCCCTGTTCACACTGATGAGTGCCATGCAACCTGGATGGTCCAGATGGATGGAGTAGTGGATGGTTGAGTGGATGGCCACCCTTTTCCAACAATGGCTGCGACGTCAGCAAGGCAGGTGGTTGGAGTCAATGTTTTTGGGCCGGATCATGGGAACAGAGCTGGTCAGCCTCTTTAGGGTCCCCAAAGGTGTAAAGATGACCTCTGCAAAGTATGTGGAGTTTATGACTGACCACACTTTCTTCCCTGGTACAGAAGGACGAACTATGCTTTCCGTTAAATTAAAAATCATCTTCATGCATGGACAATGCACCATCTCATGCTGCAAATAATACTCCGTCCCTGCAATCAATGAGGCTGTTTTATGGGGATAAAAAGGATGAGAAAGTGCATGGTGTGGCATCCATTCTCCCCTGACACCTCACATCCTATTGAGAAACTTTGGAGCAATCCTCAAGCAAAAGATCTATGAGTGGGTGGGAGGCAGTTTACTGCCTCATCCCCAACAGCAACGCAGCTCAGGGAGGCTATTCTGACTGACCACATTTTTTTTTTTTTTTATTCTTTGCAAACAAATTAAAGCAGAAACTGTCCCCAAAAAACTCACAAGTTTCTTTTTTGTTTTAATTTTTTGTAGGGTCCGCTGGACAGCCATCCACAGGCTACTTAGCATAGTAGAATCATCTTGGTGTCTTTCAGCTTTCTGGGTTATTGCCTTTTGTAGGACTTCCATGTGTTCAATCAGACCGTGCATATTGACCAGTGTCCATGCTTAATAAACTCCTCCATCGTTTTTTTTTTTTGTTTTTTAAATCCTGTGCAGATCTAACCAGCAACATATGACTGGCCCACACCCCTAAAACTGCCTGTATTCTGCACAAGTTGTCAGGATCAGAGGAGAGACAGCTTCCACAACACAGTTTATAAACTTAAAGTCTGCTTTATTGGTCAGAAAACAAAACAAACACAGGCTTTCCAATTTGCTTCGATGGAAATAAATGGAGGGATCTGCTGCCCTGTCTGAATTTGTAAATGCCTTTAAATATTTTATGTATGCATTTCCAGCACCTGAGTTGTTTACTTTGAAACCCCCCGAAGGAGGAAGTGAAGAGAGAGAAAGAGAAAGTCAATCATGTATCATGTCCATGCTCCAAGCCAGAAGAGACTATGAAAAACTACTGGAGAGGGACTAAAGGGCAGAGTAGACAGGCTGGCTCTGAGATTCAGTGCCACACTACAGTTCCTGCCCCTGAGAAGCCCAATCAAGGCTGGCTGGACCAGGGACGTATTTACCACAAAGCAAACAAGGCACTTGCCTAGGGCAGCCTTTTTCAGGGGGGCAGCACATTCACCAGAAGAAGGGATTGAAGAAGGGACAAGCGCATCCTGGGAACCAGGTGGGATCCGAGAGAGGCTGCTGGCTGCTTGATGGTGTATGTAGAGCCTGACTCTTGTTCCTGGGGATGTCCGGAGCTGTGAAGATGGGTGTCTTTCTCTCTATTGCCGGGGGAGGGAGGGTAGTGGAAGGTACTCCCAGGTGGGGGGCAAAGGTGTTGTTGGTCAGTGTCATGCTCTATCCACGAGAGCTGGAGTGGTGTTGGTTGTGTCTGTGGGGGCAGATGATTTTTGTGTTGCCTAGGGCAGCACAAAGTCTAAATACACCACTGGGCTGGACAACAGTTAGAGGATACTCCTGTGACCCCTGTGACAGTGGAGGAACTGCCAATTTAATTTTTAAACCCACTTTTCCACTTAGCATAGGTTCTGATTCTCTTATTTACTTACAGGTTTAGTGCAATATGCTGTTTGCGGAGGGTCATTTCTTACAACCCCCTAGCCCCCTAAAAAAGAGGGCTACACAAACCTATAATAACATCTTGTCAGCACATAACACAGTCCTTAGCCAGATATATGCTAAGTTTCATTACAGATTCAACATATGATAGTCTCACCATTTTGCATTTTGTGCACCAATTCACAGAAAGAACATTGGGGAACTGGAGAAAGTACAGAGAAGGGCAACCAAACTGATAAGAGACATGGAGGAGCTTAGCAATGAGGAAAGATTAGAGGAAATGAATGTAATCTCTCTTGAGAAGAGGAGATTAAGGGGGATATGATCAACATGTATAAATACATCAGTGGTTCATATAGTGAACTCGTGTAGAGTTATTTCACCCTGAGATCATCACAGAGGACAAGGGGGCACTCTAAGTCTAGAGGAAAAAAAATGTAATCTCCAAACACAGAAAGGTTTCTTCATAGTAAGAGCTTTGAAAATGTGGAATAGACTCCCTCAAGAGTTTGCTCTGGCCAGCTCAGTGGATTGCTTTAAAAATGACCTGGATTCTTTCTTGGATACACAGAGTATAATTGGATACTAACATTTATAGGTAAGGTTGATCCAGGGAATATCTGATTGCCTCTCGAGGGATCAGGAAGGAATTTTTTCCCATGCAGGAGCTAATTTGGTCATGCTTTTGCTGGGGGTTTTTTTTTTTGCCTTCCTCTGATCAACTGTGGATGTAAGATTATATCTTTCTTTCTTTTTTTTTTTTTTTTTTTTTTTAATGGTTGAACTGGATGGACTTTTGTCTTTTTTCAGCCAGACTAACTATGCAACTATAAAAGACCAAAAAACATGGGTCTTTCAATGAGCCCTGTGTGAGTTTTCATTGGAAGCTTTCCCTTGGGATCAGGCTGCAAACAGCTCTCTGCTCTTTCACACACCACTACACTGTCTCCCTAAGCTCATTTGTTTAATAGGCAGGGTTGTAGGGGAAGTATCTGCCCTCCCCATTGATCTGCCTCTTAGCTCTGATCCAGGCCTACCCTTCACAGCCTTGACACATTCCTTGGTACTTTGATAAAGGTGAGTTGTGGCTATAAATGTTGAGTTATGTTCCTAACACTTTCAGAGCTGAGAAAGCTGCTTGACTGAGCCACAAAATGTCTTCAATGTTTTAGGATAAGAACAGTTGACTGTGACTACTACTCGGTATACTATCACCTGAGTTAAGGAGACCCCTTAATTCACAGTTCTGCAAATACCTGCATCAATGAGCTAGACGTGTTCACACCTACTCAGCTACATGCAGTGGAGAAGTACCACACACAGAAACAAAAATGCTAATTTCTTCTTGTGGCAGTTCACGTCATTTGCATGCCTATAGTCTCCTGCTGTCTTGATATGGATCAGTAGCTGTAGGAGACTATTAGGTCTGGTGCTAGAAAGTCATAGTCCTATGGCTGGTTCTTCATACCAGAGAGTTCCAAGTCACATCACCCTTGATCTCCTCTTAGGCTGGCCAGGAGAGAACTGAGTATTCCTTTGATCTCTTGACAACTGAGAGGAATCAGTATATGGACTTGTGACAGATCTGCTGTATGTTCTGGTTCATATCAGTCTTGAATAGATACAGGGCTTTGACAGAGAGATATAGTGGCACTATGAGGGCAATAGGGGCTAAATACATTCAGACACAAAAATATCTCTGCAATAATGTCAGATAGTGATATTAAATAACAGTCCTTGAATGACAGTCCATACAATCATAAGTTCTTAGACACTCCTTGTGAAGCAGCCAGTTGTCAGGGTAGAAGCAACTCTAAAAGCAATGAAAAGGGAGACACAGCAGCATCATCTGAGTGTAGTAACTATCATAACATAGTTTATTAAAACAATAGTGGAGCAACTTACAAACAAATGTAAAAAGACCACTTGTCTGATAGATACATTGCCTTCCTGCAAGTGGCCCGGTCTGGTTAAGTATGGGCAGTGTGGGAAAGGGGATGAGGGAGAAGTAAAGGAATAATTTATTATTATTATTGTTTGTTTGTTTTTTTTTTCCCTCCACGCCCCACCCCTCCAATTACACCACTTCACATTCCTTTCTCTACCTGTTCTATTTTCTCAGGCTTATCTTTATTCTTCCTTTAGTAAATATTCACATCATCCACATTTCCTCAACAGAATATAGCAGTTACTTCCTTACAGACGCAAATACTTCTAGGTAACACACATTTTCTAATCCGGATACACAACACAGAACACGCAACCTTTTCAAAAAGCTACCCTTACCCGACACTTCGTACCCCCTCATCATAAAAGCTCATTATTACATGGGTCAGTTCCCTTTACAGCATTGTTACGCTATGATTGCATTGTAATCTACATGTCTGACCCGTCTGCGATATGGGATGCCGTTTATTGTGTCTATTCTTGGACTGGGTCTATTCTTGGACTGCGATCCGTAGTTGTATGGGCAGTGTGCTCTGCAGCTCATATGGCCGCACTAGTGGTGCTCTGAACGCATGCTAATCAGCTATCCACCCTGCTCCATCTTCTGGTGACGTCACGACCCAGTGGAAAGCTCCAAGACCGCAGGAGTCCTGGAAACCCCCAGTGTGGCCATACGAGCTGCGGAACACACCATCCATACTTACCCAGGCCGGAACACTCGCGAGAAGGCAACGTATCTATTAGACAAGCGGTATTTTTACATTTGTTTGTGAGTTGCTTCAGGACTTTGAGAAACTCATTGTCATAAAGTGTGAGTTATGTGACTAGTGAGTGTGCGCCTTCTGGTTTATATGTCTGGTTGCTTTATATTTCTGACTATTTTGCCACCAGCAATAATTCTATAGAGTGATCTACAGAGATGTGATGAACAGAAAACTCTTAGTAATGTAGGAGTGGCAGATTACTCTACAAGCCTTCAGCCTTGTCTTGTTATTACCTGCAATAGAGTGGTGCAATTCTTACTAAACAGTAGTTTTGCAACTTTTTTTTTACTGATAACCAGCAATTACTAGCAGATTAATTTCTAAAGATGATGCATTGCTCATTGTATAATTCCCTAATCACACGATTATTCCAAAAGTAATGCTAGGCTTTCCTACAGTTTATTTGTGCCAAAAATAACACTACACAATAGCAAGTGCTTGTAGTTATAATGCATATGGATATTTGTGCCTAACAGCAGCAACAATGTAATACATTTTCAGTTATGGCTGTAATTAATATTCCATACTTATTCACTCACTTGAACTAAATGAGACTGTGTTATATATTAATAAAGAAAATACATTTTACAATTCTCTTAAACCACAAGTGCAGGGGTCAGCAACCACCAAAC